AGTGAAATCTTATTTTACTGTTTCAATTAGTGATATTTTCACTGATTCTACTTTAGAGAGTATGTTGCTTTTCTTAGATAAAGTTTCGGAATATACTTGAAAGAAGAATAAATTCTTCTTTTAAGCACATGATGATAAGCTTTTCTAATACTTATGATGAGTATATTAAGAAACTAATATTAAGAAAATATTCTTTGTTAAAGAAAACTGTTACTCAAACCAAATAAAATAAAATGAGTAATTGCTTTTCTTGGCTATAGAACAATATTTTTCTGTGTGCACACATAAGTTTTTACTATAATATTAATCACAAAATATTAAGAATTTTAATTTATTACGTTTAAGAAGGATGATCATTAAAAGCTATTTCTATATAACATTAATTCTTTTACATATACACACATATAAACCAGTCTGTGTAAAGATAAAATTGATATCGGGTTGGAGGATTGTTGATTTTAAATATGGCGTTAGAAATTTTTAAATTTTAGAATTCGAGAAATAGCGAATCTAATGTAGTAGACGTAAAAATAAAGATTTTTAAAAATTATATATATATGTTTGTAATGAGATTTATGAATTTTGACATATTCAAAATATCATGTACGATATGTCATAAATTTGATCTGTTTTACTCTCATTCGTATTAATCATAATACAAACATACATATACTTAATAGCTATAAGAATAATGTTATCAAATATGCGTTCGTAAGTATGTCTACGGATTGAGATGTTGTTGAACCGAAAAATATCATATCAATGTGTCAGACATTTAGGTTTCATGTATTAAAGGCACGCGATAATAATCCTTACGTTTATTCGCAACAAATAAGACGCAACAATTGTTAGTGCAATGTTTCTTTTTGCTACGTTTAGACGCATTATAATATTTATATTATGACATACAATTATCGTCATGTGATTTATATATCTATTGAAATACATTATTATTTTTTTTTTTTTTTTTTTACAAAAATGACATAAAGTACACAAACTTAAATATATAACGTTAGAGAATATGTTCACTGCAGATTGAAAAATATAAAATGCGATAAGAATACTAATAATATCACAAGTTATATTACCTATAAGATTTATACATATAGCATCTTAAACATTCTCATATCTTTTCTATAATGTGTTCTTTGATTAATCAAAGTCAAATTTTAACAAAAGTGTCAAGGGATCGATAAATAGAAAGGGGCTTTTCAAAGGGAAAATCAAGTTACGAGATTCTACACAAATCAGTTACAAAATCTTATTCTCTTTTGAAGCTTGAATGAATTTTGTTTTTATAAGCTCATGATTTGAGGAATAATTATGACGATATCTTACATTGAAGATTAAAATCGTTCGTGACAGACGATGATACTTCTCGAAAAATTTGTTTCAGACTCAAAAAGATTTTAAAATATTAGAAAATGAAAATGATTTCGTTAGAGTCTGGAACATTCTGCATAATTGTCTTGTTACTGAATTACGTTGTCTTAAAAAAAGAGAGCAAGATTAAAACAAGTACGTATAATAAACGTTAATGTATTATGTAAATATCGTTATTATATTATCATCCGGAGTGTAGTATGCAATAGTCATACGTAATACACGCGCTATGTGTGAGCGGAACGTGTTCCGTTATCTGTTATGCGTAAACTAAATAAATCATGATTTTGCAAGTGATGTTGACACATGATTACTCTCGTGAAAGAGCGCTCACACCCGACATAGCATAATAGCGTACTTCATTTTGCCAGAAACATAATGATTTATCTAATACTATCTCGATAACATCTATTCCATTATTTAATGAAAATACGGAATAACACGTAGCTACGCGGATTAAGTGATCAGAGTACATGCACGCTCGGCCGAAATAAAAATCCACGTTTATACAAATTGACCTGTTCGAATACGATGGCCTTTACCACAAAAAATGATCAATGCGTTTAAGTAAAATTTTACTCTTATAGTCCAAATGTTACAATGATGTACTGAATATTTCGATATTGCGTATATTATATATAATTATATAATTTATTAATTTGAGATGTGTTTTCAGATACTTATTGTTATACGACAAAATTCTGATGTAAAATGCTATCGTAATATTTAGATTTTATAATAACGCTTTCTTATAATTCACATTAAGACATATCAAATAGAATAAAGCAAAAAAAGTTAAGTATCGATTCTTTTTTTATGTCGGGCTGTATTGTTAATTGCTATTACAAGATAAGAAAATTAGGTACTCAGAAATATTTTTATCGCGAATAAAATTTTGAGATGGGCTCATCTGTAATATCTAAGCGATGTTAAAAACAATAAGATCGATTTTTTTTTGTTTCAGCGAAATAAAATAGATGACCAATGCTATCTTTTTACAAGAGGTATGACCGTGTTTTGCGCCAAATTTACGTGTAACGACGAGACAGACCGTGTATCTTTATGTAAAACGGCAACTTGAAACTTTTGAAAGTACCTTTAATTATCCCAATATAATATTTAGATTTTTCTTTCTCTCTCGTATCGAATTCATAATAGGTGTAATCGTTAGTTGGGATTTCTATTATATGATAAAAATGTCTTTATTTTGCTGTATGAATGAAGATATTACAACATAAAGTCCGAATTGTGGAATTTTTATGAAATGTCAGAAGTCGTCAGGATAAAAACAAATGTCGACTACAAGTCCTACTGCAAGCCCTAGAGGATTGAAATTGATATTGACAGTCTAATATCGATAAAAAACTAAGGACTTGTGTAAAGAGGAAACATTTGCTAGGCGGAAAGAAGCGATGCGGTAGCCAATCAATCTTTTGCTCTTAAGAAAAAGGTAAGATTAGCTACCGCGTCGTTTATAGTTGTTTTATCATCAAAAAGATCAATCGCAATAACGCATAAATAAGTATATCTATAGCACTGATCATACACACATTTACAAATGTTTTATCACGAAATAGACAATCACGCCATCATACTTCAGCGACAGCTACTATAATTATTTTGATGGTGCAACAAAATTATTTTTAGATCTGTATCTATAGCTAAATTTTTAGATACTTCAGCAAAACCGTTCTTTCCATGTATCGATCTTGAAAATTAATAAGTAATGTGATTGAGCGCTAATTCTGGTAGCGTATTTAAAGGTAAAAAATGGTATTAATTATTTATTATTCTTCTGAGAAAAGGGAAAAATATTTATTGTTTCCATTTATTTCACGTAAAGCATTAGTTTGATAGCAAGATATTGTTTGCAATGCAAATATTTTCAAGAAATTTTATATTTTTTAGTATAGCAACAATTATGATATATATGTATAGTAATGAGCTGAAGACACATCAAATAACTTCAAATATATTATAAGAAATATTACTTCAAATATTATTTGAAAAAATTTTTATAGTTTTGGATTTCCAAATTTTGAATATATTGAAATCATGAATATTTTGGTTTTTTATGTTATTCCAAGTCTTTTATTTTTATACACTCTTTTATAAATAATAATTTGTTTTAGGAATTTTTAATATTTCAGATATTTATACATTTCTAAAGAACAATTTTCTGGATTATTGTATAAAAAAAATTTTGACGTCCAAAATCTTTAAAATTTTCAAAAATTAAAAAAAATTTTTATTAATTTTTAATATAATATTTGAATCCTTAGATATGATTGGAACGCTTGTAAACTAAAAAAAAGGGAACTTGAACGTTCGTTATTAATAATGTAGACAATATGTTAGAATTTAAATTTTACGCCTAATTGTGTCGTCGATCGTGCTCATTGTTGACATCGGTGAAAATTAATGTCTTGCAGGTACGAATGGGTTCACCGACAGTGATGGTAAACGGTAGCGTGGTACAGCTTCCGGGACAAGTGCAATCGCAGGGCTTGACTCTGGCACCGTTAACGCCGCCCGCGCACGAGTTAGAGCAGCCGCATCCGCTGTACGGTCAGCCCCACATCCAGGTGCAGCATGGCGTCCTAGTGAAGGCACCGCCTGGCGCCGCGGCGCATCTCACCACACTGTCGCATCCGGGCACGCCGCCGGACACGCCGCCCGTCTCGGCATCACCGCCGCCGTTGCAGCTTCACCGCGGCGATCGGGATTCCCGCGATGCGCGTGATCTCCGTGACCGCGGCGGTATTCTGCTGCAGTTGCAGCAACCGGCGGCGTTGGTGCAGGAGGAGATGCAAGTGGGTACGGGCGGCATGGGTTGGCTGACGCAGTCCTTGAGACAAGAGCCACTGGACCTGAGGCCCCACTGCCCTCAAGAGCAAACCCCGGAAACCCATCACGAGCCATGGTCAACGTCGGCGCACCATCATTACCAAGAGCTGCAACATTTGCCGCGACCTACTAGGCACACTGGTGAGCACTATAATATATATAGTTGACTCATTTATTAAAATATAAAATTTTATTGTTCGCGAAGTACGTGTAAGATTAATTCTGTACGGAATAATTTTAAAGTAATCAAACTTTGAAGGCATATTCTATTTATATATTTTAAGGATGACAAATGTTATATTAATATGACCCCGAACCTACTTCTTTCCGAATTATATTGTAGTAGGTAAAAAATTGTAATATTTCTTTTTCTTTTGATGAGTTTCGGAGATTGTATATGCGGCAAAGTTTTACAAATACAAAATGTGACAAATTTTTATATAATATTAATATACATATAATGCATATATGTATACACATATAGTAGGCATATATATTTACACGCATAAATATATGTGTGTATGTATGTAGGCATATTATATAAAAATTTACCAAATTTTGTGCCTTAAAGAAGAAAAGTTCATAATCTGAAAAGGCAGTGTTCTCGGATTTATGCTTGATTTTTAAAGAGCAACCAATTTTAATAGCTACTGAAGATTAGAAAAGAAGAGCTTAAATATTTAATATAGTAGGGGAGACCGGGGCAAACTCGACACCGGGGTAAACTTGACACTAGGTTTTTTGCCAATTTAAATATATCGTAGAAACTTGCCTTTCCTACTGTAAATGCGTCTTTATGTGCCAGCAACGGAATTTGGTGACATTCTGAGTTATGGTGTGATTTTTAGCGCGACATAAGCGTTTTTGATAATGAAAAGTAATTTTTCTGATCTCTCGAAAATTTCTACTCTTTCATTGAGCTTTACTCTTGCAAATCTACCAGTAAGTGATGTTGATGGGAAATTGGATGCTTTATACAAATCCAATAATAGTTTTTGCATATTTTCAAAATTTTTATATTTTTGGAGTAACAAAAGTGAAAAACGACGTTTGGGGCAAAGTTGACACCACGCCGTTTTATCGACTCCCAATAACAAAAACAATGTTTGTCATGCAGCTATATGGCCCATGACAAATGTGTGCAATGCGCACGTCTAATCGCGAATTTACTTGCATAAATTGTTTTTCAGACATGAGTTTAGATGAAAATAATTGAATGTTCAACAATTTTTGTTCTCATTATTTCCAATGATTGTTTTACTTAATTCCGAATTTTTGTACTTTTTAAATACACGATAAACAATGTATGTTTAGTTTCAGACCATAAAAAATAAGTTCCAGATCAAATGGTGTCGATCAGGCAAAGTGTCGAGTTTGCCCCGGCATTTTTCAATTTGAAAAATTATCTTTGCGTCACTTTTTCTTTTCTGGGGGCAAAACTAAGCGACGTACAGTAAAAGTTTCTTAAGCAATTTTGTACCTGAAGGAACACGCTTTAAATGTGTACCATTAAATTTGCTTGAAAATTTTAATTAATTGTTGAAAATTGCCTTTAAAAAAATCGTGTCGAGTTTGCCACGGTCTTCCCTACATGGTACATGCCGATTCACTTTAATTCTCTCTCTTACCTCTCGATATTTTGTCATCTTTCACTATGTTTTTCAACACATTCTGAATTCTTCATTGACGTTGTTGTTGTAGGTGGATATCTGGCAATGTCAAGTCATCTAGAGTATTATAGTAGTCCGGGTGCAGGAGGAGGAATGCTTCCCGCGGGCGGGAGCGTAATGCAGGGGATGGAGGATAGCATGCAAGGTTTATCAATACAACCGGGCAGACCTTTGAGCGTGTGCTCCGTGAGTTCTTGCGGCGCCGGTGGACCCACTCCAGCTCATCGCTCGGGCAACGGCCTGTACTCCAATTGCAACGGTACGAATCCTCAAGACGAACTCATGGACGATGAGCTTTTGATGTCGCTTTCTGTGCGCGAACTCAACAAACGCCTCCATGGTTGTCCACGGGAACAGGTGAGTGAAATCTTTTCTTTCTTATTCGCGTAGCGCAAAGATACTTCGGGACTGATATTTTAAATTAGAGAGCGAAATTGGTGATTAATATCGGTAATTTTATAATCTATTATAATAAGTTGTGTAATTTCTAGTTTGGTAGTTCGCGGTATAATTCTAGTTTAACTTTTCAAATTACGCCTGATGAAGGTTTATAAAGTTTTAGCGTTTTAAGGGATGAAGAAGGTAATCCCATCACAAAGTAAAAAAATCTACACGAATATAGATGTAACTTTACTTGTGTTCATGTATGTGCGGCTTACTCTTTATAAAAAAACATATGGAAATGTCTTGCTTATTGAGTTTTGAATATATTGTGAAACAATTGAAAGTAAGACATACATATATTCTCTTTTAAATATTATAAAAATATTTTCTGGCACGTTTAGGGATTAAGACAAATCCTCCAAGTTAACTCAATAGTCTCAATACGTCTAATTTTAATTGAATATTACCAAAATTTTGAGATATGCTGCATATATACGAAGAGAAAATGATGTATTAATGGCACTAGCTAACAGCAGTCTAATTGAACATAATCTTGTTGATTCAATAATAATATTAATGAAACAGATACGCCGTGTTTTAATAAAATGTTATGTGTTTCATTAATTTTGACTTAACAAAATTATTTTTTAATAATTAGGTAAATAACAAGTAACTCTTGATAATAAAATTAACAAGTAACAACTTGTTAATTTTTGGGGTTTTGAGAATTCAACGCGGTTGACAGTGCAGTTAAGTTAACGTTATATCGATCCTTAATAACTACTGGGATACATAATTATAAATCAAACGTTGTGGCTTCACTTTGAGCCATCTTCAGCGACGCGGTAAAAAATTAAATCAAAATAATTTCACGTTTTCCGGCAAAAAATAAGTGAGTAACTTTAAAATTTGGTGGTCTTAAACTAGCGTAATTTTCCGCAAGGAAATTCAAGTAAAACTTAGTTAATGATTTATAGTTTATTGATCAAAATCAAAATGACAATTATAACTTGAGCAAAAAGAGAAGTGAGGTCATATCCACTAGCTCAAAGAACGCAAGAATAAGTATTGTAATTGTGGTCAAAAGCATTGAAAAACAATACAATTTGTAAGTAAAGGATGTCGTTAAAATTGAGATAATGATGCACTTAAAAAACAGTATTGATTCCAAATGACAACTCGTCTGGCTGTCAAACAGTGACTGAGGTTAGGAGGTAACAAGCTATTAACTCTCACTATACAATGTTTAACAAATATTATAGGTGAAGAGTTAAAAGAAGGAGGAATAAAAAATTGATAATAAAGAAAATACTAAAACCATCAGATTCAACGAAAATTTTGAGGTCACGGATAAGTGAATAATTTAAAATGTAATGACCGGAGTCAAAATGTAATAAAATTAAAAATTAACGGTAATAGAACAGGTGACAATAATGAGCAAGGTTTACAATTTGCTTAAAATTGAAATGCATGATGTAAGTATTCGGTGTCTAATTGTGAATTAAGACTCTTCTGAAGTTGAATGTGCGTAATTTCGGAAACCAACTGTTTTGATAAAAATCTTTCATAAAATCTTTTTCAAATTTTTCGTTCTCCCAATCTTTATGGTTACAGTTAATTCTGTTCTGTTATGACGAAAGAAATGAGTGTGTTTTTTCGAATATAATAGGATGCTCATTATCAAAAATTTTGGTTTTATAAGTTGTCTCATCGTTTGTCCCACATAGGATGCATCGCAATCCTTGCAAAATATTTTATAAATAACGTTCTTCTTTAAATTGTGGTTGGAAAAACGTCTTTATGAATATTGATAAAGCCTCCGAGTTTATTGAGACTAAAATAAGACAATCTAGCGCAAATATATATCTTTGATAACATTCTCAAATTTTTCCAAAATAGTTGGAATAACATACGGTATCGTTAACGAGAAGGTAGCTTGATTTCACTTATACTGTCTGTGGCACTAACGTTATTTTGTTTGTTTTTATCTTGCATGTTTGTCTATTAAAAAAAGATCTTAGCCCATTATTAATTAAAGCCATTGATGAAAAAAGGACACATAGGCTTATGTGCCCTTTTTCCGCAAATTGTCTAAATGGACTTAGGTACGTGTCATATACAAGGTGTTTCTAAAACTATGTCAAAGATTTTAAGGGCGTATTCTAGAGGTCAAAATAAGAAAAAAAGTTCTTATAAACATGGGTCCAAAAATGCTTTCCCTCCGAGTCATAGCCCTCTAAAGTTGGGGAAAAAAGATCGTTGAAATTTTGTGCACAGTGTAATCATTAATAACCTTTATTTTTATGTGGTTTTGACAATTTGGTTCAATTTCTGAAGGGGAAAAAATATTTAAAAAAAGTATTTCTAAAATTTTTTGGATTACAATCCGTGTAATTTGTGCAATAAAGAAAGGTAGAGCTTTTTTCAATTATTTGTTGGAATGGTAGAGATAGGTATATCTATCTCTTAACACCTGAGATAGCAGTACTGTGGACACATAGCCCCCGTAGATAGATGGCCCCGGTCTTCCCTATAATTTATTACAAACTAATTGTGCTTTTTGTAACAATGTCATATAAATGTATGTAACATGTTTGAAATTTTTACTCATAATATATATTTATAATATAGTCATTAGGAGGTAATAATATTACTCTTTAAAGAAAGAAACAATAGAGTAAAATGCAATACTTATAAAAAGTGGCGGATTATACAAACTATCCCGCATTGTCCGACATTACCATTTTTACTTTTTTATCGTACAAGATAAATGCGTATACCGCATATATACACCATATATGACACTTGCTAAAGACAACACCAATTCTATTTTAGTTTTACATGCAACAAAAAGCGATTAAGAATTTATGAAGTAACGCAGCAAGTGATACACATATTGACCTACTATCTTACAATACCCGTACTTCCTTTATATTGATAAGAAATACGTAATAGTAAGATTAAAAAATTTTTGGTTTAATTTTACACCCGCAAATATTAATTAATTTTACCGCTTAACTACCGCTTGCACTATGTTGAACAACCGCTTGAGACTATTATAGTTTATATATATATGTATATATATATATATATATATATATATATATATATATATGTATATATATGGTATTATGTATAAATATTATAAGAAATTTATATTATTAGAGTCGTATTTAAGTAATTTCTATGCGAAGGTAATGCTGCACATCATGTCAAATATTTCATAGTTTAGTTCTAGAGATTTCAAATCTTATTGCGCAAATAATATTTTATATATTTATCCTAGTATTTATCATAGTATTAAAATTTGAACAGCATTTCGAAAATTAACGTTGACCTTAATGAGTCAATGCATGTTTATCAGAGATAAAACTTTTTAAATATGTTGGGATATACGAGGGTCGGTACGAAAGTAAAGCCTTCTAATTATTTTCTTACAAATCTGGCGCCATAGAAAATTTTGCGTTTCACTGAGTTGTTACTTGAAGTCTCTAGTTGCACCATGTTGAGTGATGTTGTGATCATTTATGTGAGTGTGTCACACGAGCAGTTCGAACTGATGTGTGTTTCAGATATTTCTTCCACGGTAAGAAATTCAATCACTGCCCTTGTCTGTTATGCGTATCTAAAACACACATCAATTTGAGCTGTTTGTGTGACACACTAATGTAACTGATTACAACACCACTCAACATAATGCAATTATAGAGACTTAAAGTAACAACTTGGTCAAACGCAAAATTTTCTATGGCGCCAGAGTAAAAAAAAAATTAAGAAGCATTACTTTCGTACCGACCCGTGTATGTTCCACTGAATGTCAAGAGATTAGAAGAAAAAAGCTCTTTAATCTTTAGTCTTATAAAAGTTTATAAGGTAAGTTAACCTTATAAACTTTTATATGTGGATATAAAGGTTAAAATGCGCAAAGTTGCTAAAGAGGCTTGCAGATGTCTTAAAAGCGAAATAATTTTCGAAAAACCTAGATATTTTGTTAGATAATACGTTAACAACTATAAAACTTTCTCGTAAAACTTTTCTATATATATGACTTACGCCATTTACGATTTACGATATTTATTCAAATTAAATATGAGCTTTAATCCAAAGAAACGCAACTAGATTTTTTGACGGGCCAAAGAAATTTGAGTTATTAAAGTTATATACTGCGGGCCGCAGCAGCTAAATTTAGAACTTATATGCTTTGCTTTCTTTGCATTACTCAGGAATCACTACGTGGAGGTAAGGCAAAGTCGAATCCTGTTTAATTTTTTACTTTTTTTTTTGTTTTCTATTTATATATGTTTTTTATTAATATTGCCGAGATCAAGATTTTGATAATTTCGCGACAAGAGCAATTGATGAGAAGTTGTGTGTGCGTACTCGAAACCTCGGTCCTCGAGACCCCAGTCGCAATATCGCATTACTGATAAATGTGAAAAACAATTCGGCGCTATGCGCTAATAATTTAGTTTATTTTTCATTTTTTTTTTGCGGATCAAGCTTGGACGTCGCGGATTCGGCTCGCGGGCCGCTAGTTGCGTATCCCTGCTTTAATGGATTGAAACAACGTGCGAGAAAATATTTACAAAAATATTATACATATACATGAGCCAGATGTAAAGAAAGTTGAATTTTCTTACTTTTGTTTAAAAAAAAATTTAAGTTTTAGACAAATTATAATAATTTTTATATAATTATTTAAGTTATATAATATAATTATTTAATATATAATATAATTATATAATATAATATAATTATTTAAGTTATATAATAGAGGAAAGTCCCCTATTATGAGATATATACCACATTTATTTTGTGTGATTGCCGGGAGTCTATATGGACAGAATTGAAAAACGTAGTAGGTTATTTTGAAGGGAATTTAATAAGCTTTAAGATGCTAAAATGTAGAATTCAATTTAAATATTAATTTTTATGAAAATTAGAAAAATGTAAAAAATGAGCTTTATGCAAAA